GGGAGGGAGGGAGCGGGGCTGAAGGGTGAGGGGTGCAACAACTCACCACAAGGAAGTGTTTTCCTTTTATGAGGACTTTGATCACGTTTGCTGTGTCTCCACTATGGGAAGCAGCATCTGATTTGGTGGCTTGTGGTGTTGTGTCTGACGATGTGAGAAGGTGGCCGATACTTGCAGTCAATGATGCAAGAAGGGCACTTGAGCGAACTGGCTTCATCATAGTGCTCTTGAAACCATTCTTTGCGGCATGCTTATCCCACGATTTGTCGTTCATCAGCAGCACCATGTTTGGCAAATCATCCCCGAAAACCTTCTTGCAGTCTCTTTTTAGAACACCCCTTCTGTCTAACGATTCTCCGTCCACAATCACCACAATCGGCATTTCAACCTTGCCGTCCGCAGCATGGCCCTTTTCTTGCCCCTTGGACGCCTCCTCTGCTGCATCGTCACCTTTGTTACCTTTCAAAAATTCCATCCGACCAGATTTCAAATCCTGCAAAACCTGTGGGACATCTTCGAGAGCGTTGACGGAGACCAACTTAACTCGCAGTCGTCTCAAGTAGTTCCCCAAAACTGCTACTCGCGCGGGTCTGTCGTCCACGACCACTGCAATGACACCATCCAGATGACGGTGTACTTCACTCCTGGCATTAAAGGTCGGTTCCTCACTCCCTTCCTCTACCTTCTCTGCCTTCATGTTAAAGTAGAATGTGGCACCCACACCAGGAGTGGTGTTAAAGTCTACTTTACCACCCATCAGTGCTACCAACTTCTTGATTATCGTTAGCCCTATACCTGTGCCACTGTGCAGGCGAGCAGTACCCACATCTGCAAGCATGAAAGGTCGAAACATGTGCCCCTGCAACGCTTCTGGAATCCCAATTCCTGTATCCTGAGAAAAAGCCGGGTTGTCCGTCCAGTTCCAGTTCCAGTTCCGGTTCCAGTTCAAGTTCCAGTTCCAGGTCCAGTTCCAGGTCCAGTTCCAGTTCCAGGTCCAGGTCCAATTCCAGGTCCAGTCCCGGTTTCAATTCCAGTTCCAGTTCCAGTTCCAGTTCCAGTTCCAGTTCCAGTTCCAGTTCCAGGCGTGTGCACAGATACCCCATACTAATCCATCCAGGTACCAGTGCAAATGTACTCCCAAAAAACATGAGGCTCAACTCCATCCATTGCAGTACCACGTGATCCATTTTTGCCCAACTCCAATCGATGCGATCAGATTCAATCCAATTTGATCCGATTCATGGAGTTCAATCGGATTGTCCGAATGCAGTTCGGGGCAAAATGCAGTCCAATTTAGATCCCCAGACCCCCAATCCAATACATTTCAATCCGGTTTGTTCCGCTCCGTTTGGACGCAGGTCAACCCCATCATTTCCAAAAGTCATTGAAGTCAAAGCCAACCCCATCCAACGATTCCAAATTCCAATCCAATGAGAATGGACCCCATTTTATAACAATTGTTCTCCCGTAGAGCACCAAGCGGATGAACATTGTCATATGCCAACATCATGTTTTCGATTTGCAAGGTGTATATATCCATTGCCGCATCATCACATGAAGATGTGGAATCCGGTGCCAACCAGAAGGATCCGAGCACGACCACACCAAAATAAAGTGCATCTGAGTATTTTACTATTTTAATATTTTAATGTATCATTGTATCCCATATTCCAACTCTGAGGTAAGCAAATCATGATCTTTGCTGAATGGCAACAAATCCCTTTTCTGCAGTTGACCTCACTTCCTGCCATCATTGCATTAAGCTTGACAACATGTAAGAACACTCTGCTCGTACTCAGGCACAAGAGAGAGAGAGAGAGAGAGAGAGAGAGAGAGAGAGAGAGAGAGAGAGAGAGAGAGAGAGAGAGAGAGAGAGAGA